GGAAGGAGTGCCTACACAGCGATTCAGGTCTATGTGACCAACACAGGGGGCCCACCAGAGACGGATTCTCTTCCTCAGTGGAAACTGGGGCTTGTAACTAATAACACAACCTGGTGTGTTATCGACCGAGGCTTTCAGCTGATCCCAGTGTGGGATCTCATCCTGTTCAATCACAGCAGTGACTTTAAGTCCATCTATCAAATGAGCACCAGCCTCAGGACTGCGTACGAAGCGCTAACGAATGACCACGTTGGCACCATGTTTGGAGAGGAACTGCTCAGTGCCGTGGAAGAGGCCAGAGCTTTTGTGGAGCAGGTGAAGGCCTGGGATGGGAGGTTGGATGAAAAGAAACTGCTCACGCTGATCGATTTCAAGCAGAACCTGAATGAAAAAACCAAAAACCCCAGTGTCTGGATCAACGTGTGCCTGTCGGACACGGCGCTGCAGGAGTTCCTGTTCAATACCGTTCTGTTCTGCAAGAAGTCACCTCCAGAAAACACCACCTGTATCAAGTCTCTGTTGAGGTGCCTCCTGGATCCTCATATTTATTCCGTCAAGGACTTCCCCAGGGCTTCCTTCATTATGCAGTGGATCTTCCACTCTGAGCACAGCCTTCCCGAAACCCCCAATATTTCTGAGCTTGAAGACCTCATCAAGACACTGCTGCAAATGAAGGAGTACATCCAGGAAGCCACCTACGCACCAGAAACCTCCGCATCTGCTATCCATGAAGCAAAGATAAAAGCCACCCTGACTACAAGCCTAGCTGTTTATTCCTTTCTCCAGTCTCTCCAGGAAAGGGCACAGAAAGACATAGAACTCTTGGTGCTCTTAATCACGAGCAGCACAGGGTACCAGGTGGAAGGGAGCACTTTTCCGTACCTCCTTGGGTGTCCAGAAATTAACTTCATGGTAAATGAAATGCAAGTGGGACATAAGGAGTATCTGAATCTGAAGGAGCAAGATGTTTACAGAGCCCAGGCCTTCCTGCTGCTGAAGGGTCTAACTGTAACACCCAGAGATGAAGAGCTGTCCCATAAGCAGAAGCATGAGCGTTTAGTCTTCATGGAAGGTCAGATGAAAAACTTATGGTCCACAGAGATAAAAACTCTCCTCGAAAAGCACAGTGCATGCAAAGACTGGAAGATGCTGGAAAGCGACTTGCAATCCTTCATCAGCGGGCTCTTGGACGACACGTGCGACGATCTGAAGAAGCACAGTATAATCAAAGACATGGAAGAGACTTTTCAAAGAACAGAGCCTTCCAGTCAGCCCAAGTCCAAAGCAGACGGCAGTGAATCGAAAGCCAATCAAGCCCTTGCAAACGAAGAGTTCCTCCACTTGCTTAAGCGCCTTGGACTAGAGAGTCACTACCCGAGAAAAATGGGGACAGAAGATTTCCACATCATATACAAGACATTTTTACATGACAGTCAGCCCAGCAAGGACGATGAGCTACCATTTTACTTCTTGCAGAAGCTATTAACTGTGGATTATCGGGTGAGGTACCTGACTTGCAAGGACAAGAGCAACCCAGGAGTCGCTCCTGTGCCAAAAACCACAGAGCAAGAGCACGAAGCCCTGGATTCCTTTGATGACTTTTTCACTGATCTGGAGGAAGAAGCCCCTGAATCTGCAACCGGTGACAATTGTGTGCACCCCATGGACCTCCAGATGGCCCTTTTCCATTGCGCTGATGATTTCATGAGACAGTACCTTTCCACAAAGCTTGCTTTCTGCCAATTTGCGCTACCTCTCCTGGTACCAAACCCGTGCACTTCACAGATAGAGTTCCCCCTCTGGTCCCTCAGCCAAGTAAAAAAGAGCTGGAAAGAGGCTGAGAAGTCGGGAGAGCAGGCCAGGATTAACAGTTACAAAAACAAACTCATTTATCAGGCGGAGACACCCATCGTGTCCTTCATACGCATCGGCAGTTCTCCCTCCTCTTCCAAGTCCCAGCTCCTGAATGCTCTGCTGAGCAAACAAAAGCACAACACTTTTTTCCACCGACATTGCGAAGGCAGCACCAAAAACTGTTTGCTGATGAAAGGCGTTGTGGAGATCTCCTGGTACTGTCCCCGGGGTAGCGACGATGACAGCTTTGACTGCTGTGTTGCTTTCTGTAACCTGCACGGAGACGTGAGGGATCACGAAAAGCAGCTACAGTTTTTACAGGAGATCTCTGCTGTGAACGTGGCTCTCATATCTGAGTCTGATCAGAGCGACAAGAAAGGGATGGAAATTTTACGTGGCCTGTGGCAGTCGCAAAGGCCTTTGGTTTGCCTTTTCACTGAAAAAGAGAAAGTTGCAGCTGGCCGATCTAGCCAAAACATAAAAATCGGTATCAAGAACAGAAACGAAGCAGAATTAATGGGTGAGCTGACAAAAGCGATCAAGGATCTCCTGGAAGGGTCCAACGTGCTTTTCAGCCTTGACTCCTGCCGGGACAAAGCTCGCAAGCACGGGTTCTTAGTCGATGAAGACACAGACGCGTGTGTGGTAGCCAAAGGAAAGGCGAAGGCGCTGGTGAAGCTTCTGAAGGAAGAGAGGCTGTTTGAGATCAAATCCAAGCTACTGCCTCTTCAGGGAAAACTGTGGTCCACGTGGTGCAAAAAGGACAAAGAACTCACTCGCTTGCAGGAAAAGGGGAAGAGGAGCATAGAGCACCATCGGAGCCAAATCGAATCAGAGAAGTCGGCAATCAGGAGGAAGCAACTAGAGAAAGCGTTCCCCCTCAATCAGCTGATGAAATCGATCCTCAGCTTTCTCGAGTCCCAGCCAGCAGATACCAAGAAATACTTCCTGCAGTGGATGAAGGTCTTTATGGATGACCTGTCCTCCGATCGCCTGGATGAACTGAAGAGGCAGTATCACCAGTTATGGTCTCAAATCCTGGCAATAAAGAAAAGCAGTGAAAAAACCAACCTGAAACCTATGCTGCTGACTCAGTTAGATGACCTCTCCAATGAAATCAACGATTCGTCCATTGGCCTTGAGCACATCTTGAGAGAGGTAGGGCAGATTTACGAAGCTCTGGAATCAACGAACTCCAAGGATAAATGCGTTGTCAAGCTGCCTGAAATTGCAGCTGATCTGATGATTTCGGGGTATCCTATTGAGCTGATGGACGGTGATGCTTCTTACGTACCATTGCAATGGGTTGGAGCAATCTTTGACAGATTAATTGAGAAGCTAGGGGACAAACGAGTCTTTGTTCTTTCAGTGCTTGGCATCCAGAGCACGGGGAAGTCAACCCTGTTGAATGCCATGTTTGGTCTTCAGTTTAACGTCAGCGCAGGGAGATGCACCCGGGGAGCATTTATGCAGCTAATTAAAGTGGACGAGAAACTGCAGCAGGATGTGGGCTTTGATTACATGCTGGTTATTGACACAGAGGGACTTCGTGCCATAGAGATGGCCAATAAGCAGTCCCTTAATCATGACAATGAGCTGGCCACCTTTGTCATTGGCATTGGCAACATGACGCTGATCAACATCTTTGGAGAAAATCCTTCAGAAATGCAAGATGTCCTTCAGATTGCTGTGCAGGCTTTTCTGAGGATGAAGCAAGTCCGCCTTTCCCCCAGCTGCCTGTTTGTACACCAAAATGTGGGAGAAATATCTGCCAAGGAACAGAACATGGAAGGACAAAGACGTCTGCAGGAAAAGCTGGATGAAATGACTGTGACGGCCGCCCAGGAGGAATTCTGTGACATCTCCTGCTTCAGCGACGTCATCCGCTTTGACGTGAACACCCACATTCACTACTTTGCTCACCTGTGGGAAGGAAACCCCCCCATGGCACCACCCAATCCCACCTACAGCCAGAACGTCCAGGAATTAAAGAGCAAAATTCTCCAAGCTGCCAAGAAGGAGTCGCAGGGCAGCATTTTGAGGCTCTCGAGCTTGAAAATTCGTATTGGCGACCTCTGGAATGCTTTGCTGAATGAAAACTTTGTTTTCAGCTTCAAGAATTCACTGGAGATTGCTGCCTACAAGAAACTGGAAACCGCCTTTAGTCAGTGGACCTGGAAGCTGAGGAGTTACGTCTTAGACTTGCAAATAAAACTGGACAATAAAATTCGGAATGGGGAATTGCAGAACGTCACCATAGAACACCTTGCAAAACTCGTGCAAGAGACAAGCGATGCCATCGTGAAAGACATGGAGAAGTTTTTCAGCGAAGACAGAGACTGTGAGATACTGATCCAGTGGAAAAGCAGCACGGAAATGAAGCTGAACGAACTGAAAGAGTCTCTTCTTTCTGAGACGAAAAAGAAGTGTGAGAACGTTATTGAACTGAGGAAGAACCAGTGTAAACTGGATGAAAGGAAGTCAGAATATGAAAACGAGCTCCTGAAAAGGAGTAGGGAGTTGGCTCTGTCTCTCAGAGGCCAGACACTAAGTGAGAGGCAACTGAGAGACAGCTTCATTTCTCTCTGGACAAACTGGATTGCCGAAGTCTCCTCCGCAGCCCCCCCTTCGGAACAGGTTGATATCGATGTGGAAATAGAGGATGTCCTTCTAGATCACTTTAAGGAGCCTAACGTGGCCAGGCGCATCAGGACATTCCCCACACACAGAGTATTTTCTGTCGACTTGGAGAAACATGTCGCTAAGAAAAATCGTTTGCGCTTCTGGGCTACGAATTTTGCCGACGCTGACGTGAGCAGCATGCACCGCATCACAGATAACACCATAGCGTGTGTGAAGGCAAACATCAGTACGAAGGAAAAGGAGAAAAGGGATTACAGTCGAAGTTTTATTCATGAAATACTAAATGAAGTACAGAAAGGTGTGAACGCTGTCCCTAACAACGCACAATACCGTTTTAACAAAGATTACAGAATAGATTTATCCCTGTACCTGTGCCGCATGGCAGCCGAAAGGTTTAAAGACATGCATGCAGCATTCCAAAAGGCAAATGATCCAGCCGTCTACCTGGAGAGCAAGAGAGAAGATTTCTTTAAGTGTTTCCAGATTTCCTGCCAAGGATCCACTTCTATCACGACATTTGCGGTTTTCCTGTGTGACAAGATTGCACCAGCTCTCCACCAGGCGGTCTATAAGAAGACAGCTCTTGCCATAGCTCAAGACGTCAGGGATAAAATCCCAGACTTCAGTGGCAATAGACACACTCTGGAGATTTGCATACTGAGACAGCTGGCACAAGAAGAAAATTTTGACAATTTCAAGGAGTACCTTTATTTCCCAGAAGAGTTTTTCCAGAGTTACATTGAGAGACGTGTGGTGGAGTACTGCCTGGATAAGAACAGGAGGCTGGAGAAGTTCTTAAATGACTCCCTGACTCACTACTACGGAAGAATCCAGTCGGCTGTTTTTGAGTCAACCAACATTGTCAAGCACAGAAAAGACAGGAATGACAAAATCTCTCTTTGGCTGGATGAGTTCTGCAGCGCCCTTGGAGAGGTGCTAAGCTTGCCCAGGAAGGACCTGAAGGGCATTGAGCATCAGGAGGTGACAGACATAGAGTTCCTGAGCAACGCCATGGCAGAAGTGCTGGCTCCCCTGAGAGACAGCCTCAGGGAAGGCTTTGCCAGCGCCGATATGAGCTCATTTGAAAGGCAGCCTCACACGATCCTGGCCGAACAGTTTGCAGGGTGCTGGGAGCAGTGTCCCTTTTGCGGGGCTGTTTGCACAAACACCATGAAGAATCACGATGGAGACCATTACCTTGTCTTCCATCGCCCGCAGGTTTTGGGGGG